CTTGGGACCCAATTATGGGTCACGAAGCACCTTGGATAATCTCCAGAAATCAATTTAAAGGGTAATAAAATAATTGATGATGTAAAATTTTCCCTATATTACAAAAACACAAAAATAAGTATAAATAAGTATTTATATTTGTGTACAACCTGTTTAGATTGTCAAAAGCCTGTGTTTTTAGGGTTATTAACAAAGTTTGTGTACTCAGACCAGTAATATTTTGGGGTCACAAGTTTATTCCACGAATATTTTGTGGGTCAGAAGATAAAAAGTTTGGGAACCACTGCTCTAGAGACCCTTGTAGAAGCAAAGTGAGGAACAAGGATCTGGTTTTTACCAGGCTACAGCTGAGCAGAAAATTTCCTGACTTGTATTTGACAATGTTGGCCTGAAGAAGGATCTAATGACAATAATATAAATGACACAACACCACAAAACTGGGAAACTGTCTTGTAGCTTCTCAGAGTCAGAACCAAGATACAGAAGCATCCTGCTCCAGAGCCCACACGTCCAGCGTGTGCATGAAGGAGCTGATTGACTGAATAATATTAGAATAAATATAATGAAGAGTTTGATGTAGACCTGCTTTATATGAAAAGTGCCCTTAGATGGTTCAGTACATTTATGTAACTGAGCCAARGATCAAAAGGCTTTGTAAAAAGAGAGATTAGTGCTGAGAATTATTTAAAAAGTGATTTAGTGTCAGAAGCAGAGCCAGGAGCCAAAAGTGATGAGGGGAACAGGTGAGCTGTTGTAACAAAGTGTGAACAAGTGTTAGTATCAATATTACCACTTTCTATCCCCAAACCTATTACATTTTTATAATTAGAAGTAAGATAGTATATACAGAAAGTACACAATTAAAAGGGAATAAGATGAAAGTAATATGCATTAAACCTGCATATGTTGACATTAAATATGTATTAAATGGTTAAATCAAAATGTGTTTWCCATATCAARTGTGCTWAAAYTTYACAATTATTWTTTTTTTAYTTTGATACAAGTGCAGGTGAATATAGGGAATATATTTTTCAGATCATCTGGCAACATGATGGATCAGTGGTTAGCACTGATGTCTCACAGCCTGAAGGTCGTGGGTTCAATCCCTGGTTTGAACCTGGGGCCTTTCTGTCTGGAGTTTGCCTGTTCTTCATGTTCTCATGTGGGTTTTCTCCTGGGGCTCCAGTTTTCCCCACAGAACAAAAACATGTACTTCAGGTCTGGGCTTCTCTTGCAGAAGAGATCCTGTTAGAAAGTCTCAACACTTTTTTAAGTGAATATTTCATTTATTCTTTTATTTCACTGCACTTATTTAAACAAAATATAGCCTTTGTGATATTGTTGAAAAGGATGTTTTGTAAAACAGCTGATGCTTAAGTTGAAATWAATCGACATTATGAAGCAACACCACTTGCACTGAGTTGGAAATATTTTAGTAAAATACACTGAATTACAAGGCTTAACAGAACAGTGCACAATTATTGATGATTTATAGGTTATAATTACATGACTTTATTAATACTGTCTTGATCTGCAGTGGGCCATATCTGAGCCATGAAACTCCAGGGCTGAAAATGAGTCCCACTCCGGCCCTGGTTAGGTGGCAAGAGAAACCAGGGAGCAGGGAAATATATATATATA